ATGAGCCAACCGTCCCCAAATAGACGAGCCTACATGAATGAATAAAATATGCTTTATGTAGTCCATTTATCGACAACCCTAGTGCAAGGCCGCACTAAAGCATGCAACAATGGCAACACCATCAGGGAGAACACCCTGTGAGCGCAGTCACCCACGTGTATCTCCGTACAGTGGTCGAGGTGATGGGGGTAGCCCCCCCCCCCACCTCGAGATCTAGCACGGTCACCTACGCATGCTTTAGCGGAGACAGGTCGCTCAAGGCAGACTTCGGCTGACGAAACTCTACCGGCGCTTGCTGCTGTCGAAGAGACCCAAGCATCAACTGAGGGTTCTCATCCGGCACTTGCTTCAGGCCGATATCTCCACCAGCTGCTCGTTCAGCTTATCGTCAAAGAAACAGTGGGGCAGCGCGACACATCCGGCAATCCTCTCAACACCGCTGTCATAAGTGGAGGTTCTTTCAGCGGGATACTGGAAAAACTGTGGGGTCTCTATGGCTCCCGTGTGAAAAGCCGAGCAGTGAAGACTGATGGCGTTTAGTCCACAGAGCAGCCAGACGTCGCCGAATGGGCGAAGGTTATGCAGCTCAAGTTGAAGAAGTATGTCGTGGACATCACCAAGACTGACCATGGATGGCATCAATGCCTCGTCAAGACGCGGGGACAGGTTATTACTTTGCTAATCTACGAGTTTGGGGCGGGCATTTCTCACGCTCAGAATCTCGAAGCTTTAAGGGAGCCTGCATGCAGCACGAGCACACGGATCGAGCCAGCGCAATAGCGGAAGTAATCTCAGAGAAATCGTGGCGCCTTCAGGAGAAGTGGCTGGACCTTGTCTGGCGCATGTGGGGCAACCACATTACCAGAAATCTCAATCGATCCACGTGGGAGATCGCTGTTGAGAAGCCACCACCAAGATATATCGAGAATCTGCGTCGTCCTGCAGATTCACCGTTGGAACAGCATTTATCCAACATAACTCAGTCCGCAAACATGGCGTTGGACTGTGGGCAAGGATCTCTAGCCGATTACCAGCAGCACCGCCGTGATTGGGAAGCCTTCGGACGACGACTCGACGAACACGAGCGCCATTTAGAGACTCGCAAGAATATCATTGAAGGTTCCCTCCTTGATGTGGCCCCTCCATCTCCCAGCTTGGTGTAAGAC